GCAATATCAAAGGACTCCATTCCTTTGTATTCGATTGAGACATAATCTTCGCTTATAAGAGATTTAAATTTCTTATTAGCCTGGTGCCATTCGCCCGATGCTATTCCTGCCTCATTCATTACTATGAGTTTCCGACCTTTGATACGCCCGTTGAATTTCCCTAATATTTTTCAGGATCGGCAGTTGAATATACGAGTTCTAGGCTGAATAACCTTTTTTGAATGAAATCTGTTATAATATTTTTTCTGCACCCTTGAGGAGATTGTATAATAAGAACAGTCTCAGGAATCACTGTCGGACGGAAGACTAAAAACCAGATCCACCGGATAACATATTTAGTGAGATCTTTATCCCCATTGCACCAGATGTTCTCTATATGCCAGATGAATGGGTTTACAAGATTGTAATTGATCTGGGGTGCCAGTTTGGCTTTAAAGCCTAAGAAAAGGTTAAAGAACTTTGGGCTAGGCGGTGGAGTAATGTTTGGAGGATATGGATGAAAGACAATTTTACGGTAACGTATTAAACGATTAGTAACTGCCTGATTTACCAATAATACTAATTTTACCGATTCTCCACCATATTCTGTTATGTTAATTTTAAAATCGGCGAGATCTAGTTTAAGTTCCATTTCGAAGTTAAAACCATCATCTTCATCTTCGACCTTAAGTATCCACATTCTTTTGCCTTTTTGAACGCATGCAATTATTGCCTGAATAGCTTCAAAAACCTCATTTCATGAATATCTTTTATTTGAATCACACATCTCTAGCAGATCCCCCATACGAAATGATCGTTCGGATCTGTAATCCTGGATTTTTCTAACTTGGTTAGACTAGGAAGCTTTTGTTCCCGTTGCAAAGCAGTTTCACTAATGGTAAGCTTTTTTGAAGGATTTCTTGTCTTAGGCTCTCGTTCATGATTGGCACGATGACAATAAAATCTATATGATTTATTTTTTCGTATAATATAGCCGTTTTCACTTTCATGTTCCCGATCACATATTGGGCAGTGTGATGGGGAGTTGCGAGTTAATGGAAACAAGTCGGGGGTATTATCCGAGGGGAATGAGAGAGAATAGCCTTCGATACTGTTTTCTTCAAGTAACAATTCCACAAAATCAAAATCGACCTGGGTTATTTCACTTTCATTATTTTCTTTCAGACATCTTTTAGCTTCTGGCTCTGGGACGATCAGGAAAGGACTGTCGACGATTTCTGATTCATCATTTGGTGGACGAATCATGAAGTCAAAGACAGTTCCACCATTTGGATAAACCGCTTTTTTTACACGAACATGTTTATCTGTTTTTTTATCATATTTGGGTGTTCCAAGCATCCGCAAGGAGAAAGATTTGAAAGAACCTATATTTGCTACATTATCAATTATCCCTTTTTTCTGTAATTCTACTGGGAGTTTCTTGCGGACGAGTTCAGTGAAAGCTGAAACCTTAGTGATATTTAGAAGTCTCATCCCAGTAGTAGAGATATGGAGAGACATTTTTTTTGCATCACTACTACTAGCAATGGTTATAGTTTTAGGATCCCACTTCGGGAATATCTCCAAACATGTCTTTATAAAAGCCTGCCTGAGCGAATCAAATACCTCTTTGCCACTGAGCTTAGGTTCAATGGAATCATGTATCTCTCGCAATAAATCAAAATCTATAATAGGGCGGAGTGGTTCATCGCCATCAATAATCTCATGTAAGGAATGGCCTTCACGTTCTGAGAGTATGGCTTCTATTCCATCCTCGTTATCTGCGCCGAGAATATTCCTCGGTCTGATACTATCATCGCGAATTTTATATATGTATTGACCAACATCGGAAGCTTTTAACCCATATGGGGCGGGGGCGTCGAGGAACTCTGAAAGCTCAGATTGGATCATGATATTATATCACAAATATACAGTTCGAGAGAAACTATATACTTCAGG